GGTTAGTGAGGCTGAGGGTGGTGAGGGTGAAAAGGGGGGGTGAGAGAGCTTACCTTTTCTTCCCTGGTGGTCCAGTGAGCTCCCTGGTGGTCCAGTGGCCATTGCTTCTGCTCTGCAGCTCCGCAGAGCTGCAGACCATGTAATCTTGCGAGATGTCAGAGAGTTGCCGTGGTTACCCGCGGCAACGCTCTGATTGGCCAATTCTCGCGAGACACATGGTCTGCAGCTCTGCTTACTGCGGAGCTGCAGACCTGTGTCTGCGACGGTGGCCGGGCAGCCAGGAGGGACCTCGCACCCAGCGGCATACCGGGCAAGCCACCGGGCCTCCTCCTGGTGTCAGGTCCTCGGTCACTGACTGCCCACAGGCGGTTTAGGCGGCCGCGAAAAATACATAATTCCTATCATACTGAACAGAACACCCACATTCAACCTATCCCCAGATGGCTTGGATCTGAGCGCTCAATATATCCAAACAGCACTCAGATCCCACAAACACAGTCAAATCGCCATGGGGTTTAAGTCTAGCATGGGCTGATGAGAGGGTCCATAGTCACAGGGCAGGAGGCTGGCAATCAGTCTTCTCCAATGCCCAGTGGCGAGGCTGGTTCCGCCACACTGACAAACAGACATACTCTTTTACAGACACACATACAAACACATATAAACTCTCACTCACAAGCACACATACATTCTCACTGAAAAACACATACACACTCACACACTCACCGACAAGCACACATACACTCACTGACAAACACACATACACTCTTTGACAGACAAACAAATACAAACTCCGTAACAGACACACATACAATGTATTCTTTTTTTCAAATTTTACTCCACCCAGCCTCCCTACATTTGGGAGTGCTGGCATGGAGTCTCTATGTCCCTTTGGTCCAGTGTGGCTGCTGGGATGAGCGTGCAGTCCCCTGGGTCCAGTGGGGCTGCTGAGCAGCTGGCGTGCGGGCGGCGAGGGAGCAGTAATTTCTCTGCTCAGCTCCTTTGTGCACCTCTTAGTAATGCCGGAGCCTGAGTGACGTCATGTTCCGGCTCTGGCATCACTACTCTGCGCACGAGGAAGGAGATCACTGCCCACTGCTCCCTAGCTTGAGGCGGCCATTTTGTTTTCAGGAATTTTGGCGGAACCCCATTTGTGTTCTTGCGGAACCCCAATTGGGAAATGCTGGTTTAGATGAAACATTGTGTTTTGGATAGAACATTGACTTGAAGATAAAATGCAGAGAGTAGACGTAAATAGAAAACTTTCAAACTGTATAAAAGTGGTAACTCTCTTAATCTGTTTATAAATGATCTTGAAGTGGTCATTGAAAGTCATTTGTCGATATTTGCAGATGACACAAACTAGGTAAGATAATGCAGGCTAAACATGATATATCTTCTCCACAAAGGGATAAATTGGGGAACTGGGTAGGAAACTATCATAGCAGATTCAAAACAGCAAAAAGAGCATTAAATCTCAGGATGAGTATATAATTGTGCCCCTTTCTAAATCACTGGTAAGGCCACATCTTGAAATATGCTGTGCAATTTTGTGCATCTGTTCTAAAGAAGGATATTATGGCACTAGAAAAAGTGCAGAGGAGAGCTACAAAATTAATAAAAGTAATGAAATATTTTAGCAATGAAGAAAGATTAACAAATGTAAACCTCTTTAGTCTAAAAAATGGCACCTCAGATAGGATATGACAGCATTATACAAATATATCCGGGACCAATACAAACCATTGTCTGGAAATCTATTCAAAAACAGGACTATACATAGGACATGAGGTCACATGTTTAGAATGGAAGAATGGAGATTTAGTCTAAGGCAAAGGAAAGCTTTTTTACAATTAGAACAATAAGGATGTGGAATTCTCTGCCTGAATAAGTGGTTTTATCAGAGTGGTTTTATCAAATGTTTAAACAGCAACTGGATACATACTTGCAAAAACATAATATTAAATAATATCTATGATTTTTAAATTGTGGGGTAATAGCTTCTTGATCCAAGAATACATTTGACTGCTATTCTGTGGTCAAGAAGTAAAAAACTCATGTTAGAAAGGCTGAACTTGATGAACACAGGTCTCTTTTCAGCCTACGTAACTATGTAAAATTTATGCATGTTGGAATAAGGAACCTACAAGCCACTTATACATTAAATGGTTGAGTTAGGAATAACATTAAATGAAAATGACTTGGGAACAATTCTACATAACAAACTAGAAAATATTATGCAATGCAGGTACAGTGCCTTGCAAAAGTATTCACCCCCTTGGCATTTTTTGTGTTTTGTTGCCTCACAACCTGGAATTAACATGGATTGTTTGAGGATTTGCATCAGTTAATTTACAGAACATGCCACAACTTTGAAGATGTTTTGTATTTTTTATTATTGTGAATCAAACATCAAATAGGCCAAACAACAGAAAAGGTCAAGGTGCATAACTATTCACCCCCCTAAAGTCAATACTTTGTAGAGCCACAGCTCCAAGACACTTTGGATAAGTCTCTATGAGCTTGCTACATCTTACCACTGGGCTTTTTGCCCATTCCTCCTTGCACAGCTGCTCCAGCTCCTTCAATTTGGATGGTTTGCACTTGTGAACAGCAATCTTTAGGTCTGACCACAGATTTTCTATTGGATTGGGGTCTGGGCTTTGACTAGGCCATTCCAACACATTTACACGTTTCCCCTTAAACTACTTAAGTGTTGCTTTAGCAGTGTGTTTGGGGTCATTGTCCTGCTGGAAGGTGAACCTCCGTCCTAGCCTCAAATCATGCACAGAGTGGTACAGGTTTTACTCAAGAATATCCCTGTATTTAGCACCATCCATCTTTCCTCAACTTTGACCAGTTTCCCAGTCCTGGCTGCTGAAAAACATCCCCACAGCATGATGCTGCCACCACCATGTTTCACTGGGGACGGTGTTCTTTGGGTGATGTGGTCTGTTGGGTTTGCGCCAGACATAGCGTTCTCTTTGATGGCTGAAAAGTTACATTTTAGTCTCATCAGACCAGAGCACCTTCCTCCATACATTTTGAGAGTCTCCCACATGCCTTTTTGCAAACTCAAAACGTGCCATTTTGTTTTTTGCTGAAGGTAATGGCTTTCTTCTGGCCACTCTGCCATAAAGCCCAACTCTGTGAAGCGTCTGGCTTATTGTCATCCTATGTACAGAAACTCTAGTCTCTGCTGTGGAACTCTGCAGCTCCTCCAGGGTTACCTTAGGTCTCTGTGCTGCCTCTCTGATTAAAGCCCTCCTTGCCCGGTCCGTGTGTTTTGGTGGGCGGCTGTCTCTTGGCAGGTTTGCTGTTGTGCCATGTTCTTTCCATTTGGTTATGATAGATTTGATGGTGCTCCTGGGGATCATCAAAAATTTGGATATTTTTTTATAACCTAACCCTGACTTGTACTTCTCAACAACATTGTCCACTTCACATTCACTAATTATGTGACTTCTGAAGGTAATTGGTTGCACCAGAGCTTTTTATGGGCTTCATAACAAAAGGGGTGAATACATACGCACGTGCCAATTTTCTGTTTTCTATTTCTAAAAAATAGTTTTATGTATATATTTTTTCTCATTTCACTTCACCAACTTAGACTATTGTGTTCTGATCCATCACATAAAATTCAGATTAATAAAACATTGATTTAAAGATGTAATGTAACAAAATAGGTAAAAAGTCAAGGGGGGGTGAAACTTTTGCAAGGCACTGCATGCCATTGCAAAGGAAGGTGTTTTCATGCATAAAAAGGGGTATTGGTTCACTTGATCAAAATATAAATTTGCCTTTTTATAAATAAGAGGTAAGTCCACCACCTTGAAAATGTGGTGCACTTTTGGACACCAGTTTTATAGAACAAGTGCAAAGGCAAGCCACAAAATAAATGAGTGGGATAGAAATATTCGTTTTAAAGAAAGACTAGAACAACTGCATTTGTTTTATTTAGA